TTCAGTAAATTATTTGTTCACATCAGAAAAAAATTCTAGCGTTTCTCATTTACAAGACACAACAAAATCAACATGAAAATTCCAAAATCCTTTTGGAACAAAATTATGAAAGATTCGAAAAATTTTCCAACAAAAAATACCAATATAAACAGGTCTCACCGTGTGAATGTCTCCCTATGTTGAGAGCTTGATCGAGGCCTTCCCAAGTCAAGAAATGAAAGGAAACATAATTCATTTATCATTGATAATTCAATATAAACTATGATTTTCTGAATTATTTGGTTATTAATTTGATTGTTTGCAATTTTTGGCATTTGGCTTTCTGTTTTAAGGCCCTTTTAGATCTTTGATTCACAAGCAATAGGAATAAAAAAAGAGGAAAAGAGATGACAACTTGCTTTTTTATCCAGCGGGAATTACACTGTTGTCATCCAGAATACCATTATAAACATGTCTCTTGGAGGGAATTGCTCCTTATGTGAGGAGAGATGAACAGAAACAGAAACACAATTCAATTCTTCATCTGTGTGTGAAAAATTACTTATTCATGACTAAAAGACAGTTTGCAAAATAACTGATGAGTGTTATCTGTATAAAGGTAAGCCTTGAGGCACTCTGACAATTGAGAATAGCCTGAATGCAACATAGCAGTCAGAAACGCTCCTTAGTTCTTCAAGATGGTCTGCTCCTTCCTTCAAAGAAAAGAGAATGTTTTTCATTGAAAAATGTTAACTGAGAAACAAAGAATGTCATCAGAAACAAATGTTACATCTGCTTATCAACTCATTAGTATCACCCGTGTAATGATATCAAGATTTTCGTACACAGCAGCAACTCACAGCAGATTAACCAAATGCATAAAACTTTAAAAAACTATTTAGTCACCAAACAAAGTATGTTTTAAAGAGTAATCAATATGACAACTGAATTCTACGACAATTAAAACTAAATATAGTTTTCGATTTCATTAATAAAATTTTAGCTCAAATATTAACCTTTTTGTGCTCTTACGAGATGGAAAAAGCAAATTTAATTAAGAAACAAACCTCTTCATCTTAATCCGCCTCAGTATTAAGCATTACGAAATTCAGTTTTGATCTTCTCGAGCCTTGTTAGAACATCTTTCATATTGAGCCTCTCGTTGGG